AAAATAAATTTAACTGATAATGAATTAAAACATTCAAACTATATTTAAAATGAGCTTACTATTTTCAAAAATTACCATATGAAGTTTTTTTTAATTGAAAAGAAGATGAAATTGCCTTGAGCAACTGATACCGGCCATGTTGTAGATTGCTTCTGCATTCCAGAACTCTGCTTAGCGTTACCCACACAAGGGAGATTTCTTTATGGGACGCACATCTCTTAGAAAAGGAAATCAAGCTTACGTTTCCAGAGAACTTTTCTCACAAGCGAACTCCAAAGGGAAGTAACCTGGAAAGTAATCCAATGAGCTCACAAGCGCATGTGAAATAACTCTTCTGGTAAGTGACCCCGCTTTTCAAACAGGTGCAAAGATATTTGCGGCCCAGATAAAACCTGCCAGAGGAGGAACAGCATGTCCCTGCTATTTTGGGGACAATGACCGACCCTGGCAGCCCAGAAAACGCCCAGCAAGGCTTTCCACAGGATCTGCCTGCAGGGTGGAGCCTAAGGGAAGCCCACAGCAGGCACATGCAAGCACCCAGAAGTATTCCACACCAAGACAGGGACCTGATGTGATGGCCTGTGCAGCGGTATGGACATGCTTACAGGAAGAAATACGGGGGACAGGTTAACCAGCATCACAGGAAGCAGTAAAAACAGATTCGTGCACGTGAAGCCCTGTGTGGACCCTGATTTGAACAACCACGGGAAGAGACGGGAACTTGGGCTGGATATAGGATGATAGTAAGGAATTCCTGTTCATTTTTTAAGTTAGAATGGATTGCAGTTACGTTCTTTCGGGGGGAGAAAAACAGACCACTTGGTAGAGATAGATGAAAACACACAATATCTGGGATTTGCTGCAAAGTAAGCGGGCGGTGGGGGAGCGGCGATGCACTAAAGACCAGCATGTACCCCCCTGGGTAGCCGGAGACAGAGGTTTACTGAACTATTTCTGTCCATGTTGAAATGTTCTCCAGTAAAAGTTAAAATAGGCTCAGAAACAGCTTCCCCCCTTCCCACAAGTCCAACTGTTTTTGTGAAACCAGAGAGACAACAAAGGTCAATTAAAAAGTATCTAACGTTCACCTCCTTAGTAGCAGGTAAAGGGATCACTTACTTGAGCAACAACTCGCTTGTACAACTAGAAAAATACAACAGCCTCTGGGAGCACTCAGACAGGAGTCGACCCAGAAATGCCAAAACGCTGCGCCCAGATATAGAAATGACAGGCGGTTTCAGAAAGCGCTCGGCTCTGTGTCACCACACGTAGCAGAGTGGGCAGTCTTTAGAGGGAGGGCTGCAGTCCGTGAGACCCAGGAGAATGGCAAAAAGGGACCGCATCTTTCCCACAGTCGCCCTCAGCAGGTCCCAGAGCAGCGCTTCAGGAGAGGAGACGGACAGCCCTTCACGCTTCGGGGTCACTAACTCAGCCCCAGATGCGCATGTGCTGGCCGAATCCCCGTCTGCCGAGCACAACGGTGCAGCAGACACAGGCCAAGGCGTGCCTGTCTCACGGACGGCTGTTTCACACATCCTGCTCCTAAGATGCTCACGGGGCCAGGCACTCGCAATCTGCCAACACCCCTCTGCTGCACCAAGGACTGTGAATGATGCAGGTCCACCTCAGGTCCACCGCTGTACCTCCCTGCAGTGAAGCCTCTTCCTGGCGGCCACCTGACCTCCTGTGATGGCCCCTCAGCACTGCATTTGAGGGGACTGGGGGGACCCTGGGGGACACTGGGAGGGTTAAGGGGACACAGGAGGACACTGAGGCTAGGGGGACACTGGTGATCGGGGGGACACTGGGGGGACATAGGGGATTAAGGGGACACTGAGGGGGCTAGGGGGACACTGGTGATCGGGGGGACGCTGGGGGGACACAGGGGATTAAGGGGACACTGAGGGGGCTAGGGGGACACTGGTGACCGGGGGGACACTGGGGGGACATAGGGGATTAAGGGGACACTGAGGGGGCTAGGGGGACACTGAGGGCATTAAGGGGATACAGGGGGACACTGAGGGGGCCAGGGGGACACTGCAGGGACACTGAGGTGATCGGGGGGACACTGGGGGGACACTGCGGGGACACTGAGGGCATTAAGGGGACACGGGGACACTGAGGGAGTTAAAGGGACACTGCGGGGACACTGAGGTGGTTGGGGGGACACTGGGGGACACTGATGGAGTTAAGGGAACACTGAGAGGGTTAAGGAGACATGGCAGGGTGACATGGAGGGGGCTTCATCCTCTCTTAATGAAAGGTGAGTGAGAACACAGAGTGAAGAGAAGACTATTCATGCAAACTCCTCACTGACCAGCTGCGTCCTTGGCTTCCCTGCGGTGGTCAGGCTGGGTCTCTCTAAGCCATCTTGAGGGCACAGGTTTGTGTGTGTGCATTCCTCCTCTGTCTTCTCATCCCCTCAAATATGAGAAACCCACCCAGAGTGGCCAGATTCAAAGGAACTTAAGAGTCCAAGAAGCAAATCTCAAGAAAAATGCCAATTCCCAGACTTTTCAACCAAACAAATGGGGATAAACCTCATTTTCATGCTTCCCTTTATTTTTGTAATCTCCTGTAATTCTCATTCTGGCAAGTGTCATTGAGGAAATGGTTTAACTACTAATTTCACAAAGCAACTGATCACTACACACACGACTGAATACACGGACTATTAATCTAGGAGACGCAGGAAACACTAGAGCCTTATTTCACGGTTAGAAAAGAGGTATTAGCATGTCCTTTTTAAAAAGCCCCATAGATGGGGCGCCTGGGTGTCTCATTAGGTTAAGCGTCTGCCCTCGGCTCAGGTCATGATCCCAGGGTCCTGGGAAGATACGGAAGACACGAGCATTTCAAATCTAAAGACACGGAAGCAGAAGGGCCTCGGGGTGCACAGCCAGCGCCCTCACATGCCATCCTGCCTAGATGCGCTGGGAACTGAGGGACACGAGCGCCACAGCAGTTCACAAGGACCTTGGCTGGGCCCCAGCCTGCGGGGACTGCCTCACCTGTTCAAAAAAATTCCACTGCTTTGTCAGACTTCTTCTAAAGAACAGCTACACAATCTGACAGATTGCTCGTACGTATTCTGAACACGAAACGGAGTGTGCACGGGCTCCAGGAGCACCTGCCGTTAACACAGCTGAGACAGCCCGCCCTGCACGGTCCTCACCTTCCTGCGGTGAGGGCTGTTCCCTCAGCCACAGCCTCCTCCTGCGAGCCCAGACCCAGCTGTCCCCCCGGTCATCCCCAAGGGCCACAGCCTCTGCATGACCCAGCACACCCTGTGAAGCCCCCAAGCAGTGCCCTGGAGGGGTCCTGAGCCCGCCCTCTGTGCCCTCCCACCCCTCTGCTTCCTGAGGGCCACGGTCAACTCTTGCCTCAGGTAGTACAATCATTCCCAACCCTTCTTCCATCCAGCCATCAGATGCCTCTGGAACAGATCTGGGCCTTGGCTGCTGCCTGCAAGGTCAGGGCCTTGCCCTCCAAGGACACCACCCTCCAGATACACCCCAGGTGGACGAATCCTGCCATCCTTCCTCCCCCCCCGACCTCTTAGGTCACACCAACACAGTACTGAGGGCCACTGGCACCCCATAACAGCTGCACCTGAAGACGTCTGCAAGGATGAGCAGGGGCTGGCCCCTGGACATCACCCCCTTCTCGGCAGGCTCCCTGAAGGCCCTGCTGCTCTAGGCCCTGAGAAGCAACGGAGAACAAACGAGAACAGGGACGATAGGCACAACTACTCCTCATACTCTGCTCTCGGCGGGCTTTGTTGCAGGGTACAGGGCTCGACGTCCAGGAGGGAAGAAGTGGGGTCTGCACTGGGCAGGCGGGGAAGTGCTTGTTGGGAGAGGTGATCTGACTGGAAAGGTGAGTACATGAAAACAAGAGGACAGCACACCGAGCACGAAACAGACAACAAGGGAGAGAAGGATGGGAGACAGGGTCTGAGTGCACGTGTGGAAAAGTTTATGCAGAGCTGTGCCCCCGGATCAGAGGGAGCAGCCTGGGGTGCAGAGGGCGGGGACCAATGTGCAGAAGAAAGATTATGGGGGAGGCCGCCTTCAACAGGCAACTGTTGCTGGACCAGACTGGGAGCCCTCTGACACATTCTGACACCCCCCACCCCCGCGTGCCTCTGTCCACCTACCATGCACCCCCTGCGAGCCTCCGTCTACCCGTCCACCCACCACGCGGCCTCGCACGCACCCCTCCACCCTGTGTGCCCCCTGAGCATGCCCCCGTCCACCCACCAGGCGGCCCGCACACACCACCGTCCACTCACCATGGGCCCCTGTCCACCCACCACATGCCTCCGTCCACCCACCGTGCACCCCCCATGTGCCCCCATCCACCCACCACGCGGCCCGCGCACGCCCCCGTCCACCCACCACGCGGCCTCGCACGCGCCCCTCCACCCACCGCGTGCCCCCTGCGCGCCTCCATCCACCCACCACGCACCCCACACGCGCCCCCGTCCACCCACCACGCGGCCCTGCGCACGCCCCCGTCCACCCACCATGGGCCCGTCCACCCACCGCACGCCTCCGTCCACCCACCGTGCATCCCCCACGTGCCTCCATCCACCCATCCACCCACCACGCACCCCACACGCGCCCCCGTCCACCCACCACGCGGCCCCACACGCACCCCTCCACCCCCCACGTGCCCCCTGCGCGCCTCCATCCACCCACCACGCACCCCACATGCGCCCATGTCCACCCACCACGCGGTCCGCGCACGCCCCCGTCCACCCACCGTGGGCCCCCTATCCACCCACCGCACGCCTCCGTCCACCCACCACGCGGCCTCGCGCGCACCAATCCACCCACCACGCAGCCCTGCACGTGCCTCCGTTCACCCGTCCACCCACCGCGCAGCCACCCGAGAGGAAGCCCCCAGTCACGACGGATGGCGGCAGAACATAGGACGTGCTCAGAGAGACAAGCACGCAGACGGCAGGAAGAGAGCTGCCCTGAGACCTGCCTCACCTGCTGCACTCCCGGAAGCTCAGGGGGCACCAGGGCTTTCACAGCCTCACCCTGATTCCCGCTCCTCTGCGTCCTCAGGCCATCCTCCGCAGGCGGAAGCTCCTGGCCATGTTTCAGTGCCTGCCTGTGTAGCTCCTGAGTCAGAGCGGTGGGGTGAGAAGCATCCTTCTTCTGCAGCTGCTTCTCCAGGTCCGCTCTCAGCTGCTCTAGAGCCCACCTGTGCTCCTCCCGCATGGTCTGCATCTCAGACAGGTGACGCGATTCCAGAGAATCCAGGTGTGACGAGTGTCTTGCCTCCAAAGCACTGACCGCCGCAGCATGCTGTGTCTGCAGTTCAGCCACACGGGCTTCTGAAAGAGCCCACTGCTCACTCTCCACCGAGGCCTTCAGCTCCTCTACCTCAGCCCGGTGCCTGGCCTCCAGTTCCGCCGTCAAGGACAGAATGTGCTGTTGGTGTCTCTCCTGGAGGAGACGCAGCTCACAGGCGTGCTTCTCCTGGGCCTCCCGAAGGAGGGCATCCTGTTCCGCAGTGAATTTCTCTGTGATTTCTTTACGTTCTTTTAAAAACCTGAGAGGACATGCAAAGTGAACTCGGGCAGCAGAACACAATCATAAAAGCACCAACCTCACTTGGGAACACCTACTCACCACCTTTCTTACAACAAACACTACATCGTTGCATTGTTTTAACTGTTCTTGCTCCTTCTCCCTCTGCCACAAATGGCCTGAGAGGACCACCTTCAGAAATAAGTGGAGAGTGGAGGGGCCACATGAAGCCAGAGGAGCTCAAAGGACAGAGCCCAGGCATCCCCCCTCACAAACTGAGTGGAGGACACAGGATCCACAGCAAGAAACCGCACACGTATTTCCGACAGACACCATGGCAAAGCAGATGTGACCGCTCACTCTCGGCGAGAAGGACCTCGACAGGGAAGGGGCAGCAGGATCGATTCTAGGAGCCCACAGGGCCATAAAGAACAAAGACCTCAGAAAAACTCTGGTTGTGAATTAAGGGACATGAATTAAAAAGAGCCACGGGGTGCTGGCTGGCAGAAACAAAGGCAGGCAGGCAGACTCACTTCTAATCACAGCACCCAGGATCCCACCAGGAACTGAAAAAGCCTCAGCCTCAACTGGGCGCACGCTGCTCATCAGTGACATGCCCTGGTCAGTTCACCAGATAACTCTGGAAGCATTTCCAGAGATTATCCCATTTACCGTCACCACACAGGGAGAGCACGAAGGTTTTGTGAGGTTGAGCACAGTGCCTGCATCCAACCAGCTTACACAAGGTGGGTCGAGATCTGAACTCAAGTCCTCAGACCCCTAGATCAAAAGCTCTTGTACCTCGCTCATGATGGTGGGGAGCAGCTGATGCATGAGAATAAACAGCACCAACAGCAAGTCTAATGACCCCAAGACTCACAAACACCCCCAGTCACGACAGCCCGGGTTTGCAAAGAGTTAGCATTGACAGAGACCAAGAACCAAATCACATTCTAAATCTATTTAAAATTTAAGGGAAGTATGCATAAATTTTAGGAAAAGGACATTTATTTTTTAAAATATCTGAGTTTTAAAAACACAAAGAACTAATATGGATGAACTGCATGTCCTTTTGATAAGTGAGGTCTCAATTCTTGCTTTTGAAATTTTTTTTTTTTTTTTTAAGATTTTATTTATTTGCGAGAGAGAGAATGAGAGAGAGAGAGCATGAGAGGGGGGAGGGTCAGAGGGAAAAGCAGACTCCCTGCCGAGCAGGGAGCCCGATGCGGGACTCGATCCTGGGACTCCAGGATCATGACCTGAGCCGAAGGCAGTCGCTTAACCAACTGAGCCACCCAGGTGCCCCCTTGCTTTTGAAATTTTAAAATGTGCAAAGAGCAAACATGATGTGGAAGATGCGTGCACAGTAGCATCCACCAAGGAACACAGGCTCCACCAGGAGGATCTGGACACTGTCTCTGATTTGTCCCAGCATATCTCAGTTATAGGATGTGATATGGTATGATATCCTGCTGTCATTTTAGGGTGAAGACCAGGTATCGGGGACTCGCTCTGCCCCACCTTCCTGCAGACCTTCCCACCCTGCTCAGAGCCCACAGCACGTCCTCCCAGGGCACCTGCCTCTCACACTCTGCTGGGCATCTTGGGGTCAGGCCTTAGGTGGGATGCTGGCCGACGGCTCTACAGCTAATACGCTGCCACAAGGACGTTACCCACCTGTTCTGTGCCTGCATCAGCTGGAGGGCACAGTCGTCCTTCAGGCGGAGTGCGGCAAGCTCCCAGGCCTGGTCTGCAGGAGCCAGACGGCCACCTGGCTCCCGGCCACACTGGCTGCACTGTGGACACTCGTCCCCTGCAAGCCCGAGCTCCAGCTGCCGGAGCCGGCCCTGCTGCTCCACCAGGGACCCCTCCAGGTCCAGGATCTGGGCTGCCTGCTGATCCTGAAGTTGCCTCATTTTGATTTCTCGAAGCTCAAACTTGTTTATTATTGACTGCTTTTCAGCTTCAGCTTGTTCTTTCAGGTCAAGGAGCATCAGCGCGAGTTCCTCTTCAGCTTTTCTCTTTAGATTCTCACTCGCCACTTTCCATTCTGCTTCTTTGTCTTTGAATTCTTGCTTCATCAGCTGTAATTTCTCCTTAGCTTTCTTCAGCTCCTCCTGGTGATCTTCAACCAAGTTATATTTTACCTACAGATAACATAATTTCATTTAAGACAGAAAAAATTAAAAGAAAAGATTATTGGCAGGAATGGCACCCAAACCAGCTGTTCTTCACCTCTGGAGTTGGCAGGCCTGGACAAAAACTTACCGAACTCAAAACATACACACATGTGCGGAGCAAACAAAGATAGCGTCGGAGGTCTTCTGTGTCAAGACCACCAATGGGGGGGGGGGAGGTCAAGGGGAAGGCCAACCACAACAGAGTAGAGCCACCATCAGCAAAAAAACTAGAAGTCCACGAGAACGAGAACAGCAAATGGTGTAATGAGCTCAAATCTGTGGACTTGCTTCATTCATATTCCATTATCTACAAGGAACCTGGTCAAAAGATTGGTGAACTAAAATTTAAACTTTTAAGAGTATCTTGTGAAAAGGGAGGTTAATCACAATGCTGAGGATAGGCAAATATCCTGATTTTCAAAAAAGGAAGGAAAGTAGGTCAATAAACTACTAAACATTATCAAAAATAAACAAAAGTAAAAATGGTATTGAAGATTGACCTCAACTCCTTATTTAAAAATTAAGTCATTAGGGCGCCTGGGTGGCTCAGTCGGTTAAGCGACTGCCTTCGGCTCAGGTCATGATCCTGGAGTCCCAGGATCGAGTCCCGCATCGGGCTCCCTGCTCGGCAGGGAGTCTGCTTCTCCCTCTGACCCTCCTCCCTCTCATGCTCTCTCTATCTCATTCTCTGTGTCTCAAATAAATAAATAAAATCTTAAAAAAAATAAAAATAAAAATTAAGTCATTAAAGGGGCACCTGGCTGGCTTAGTCAGTAGAGCATGTAACTCTTGATCTCAGGGTCATGAGTTCAAGTCCCATGTTGGGTATACAGTTTGCTTAAAAAAAATGAAGTTATTAAAAATAAGTTTAGGGTCATGCTTCTGGACATGGCTGAGAAGCTCTAATAAGGCCAACCCTCCCAGAGGGTAACAGCTATAAAGGCTGGAAAAAAATATAAGAAACTACCCAAAGGCCTGAGAGAGCATCTAAAAGCAGACAGATTGTGGAGAAGGGCTGGACACCCAGAAGAAAGAAATGGCACTGGGCAATTTACCTGTCCACACCATGCACACAGAAATCCCAAAATCTCATTTGTTTGAGCAGAGGAGGTAGAAAGTGAAAGGTGAAAGCCCATTAGGACAGAGCCAGAGAGACAGAGAGCTGCAAAATCTTTGCATTAACCTAGCCCAAATCTCAAGTTGATTCCTGATGCATACATGTGTGGGCAGACTCCAAGAGCAGACCAACACAGAGAAGATGTAATGTGGAGTTAGAATCCAGCCAAGTTAACTGTCTGCTAAAACAAACAAAAAAAATCAATACTCTTCAGTGGTACATAACAGAATCCAGAGTCTCCACAATGTATCATTCACAATGTCCAGGATACAATTCAAAATTAGTTGATATACAAATAAACAGGAAATATGATACATGCTAAAAAGAAAATACAATCATTGGAGAACCCCAAGATGACGCAAATGTTGAAATTAACAAAGGTTTTCTTTTTTTGTTGGTGGTTTTTTTTTTAAGATTTTATTTAAGAGAGAGACACAGCAGACAAAGGTTTCAAAAGCAGATATCCTAACTGCATTTATGGGCATAAGAAAAATATGCTCATAATGAATAAAAGGATAGCAAATCATGGCAAAGAAAAAAAGACATTCTTAAAAAGAACTGAATAGGGGGGGAAAAAAGAACAACCAAACAATTTTCTAGAATTGGAAAGCATAATATCTAAAATTTTAAAATTCGCTGGGTGGACTTAAAAGCAGATCAGAGCTAACAAAAGAGTCAGTGAACTGGAAGATTAATAGAATTTAACCAACAGGAAGGGGAAAAGATTAGAAAAAAATAAAATGAACAGAACCTCAGAAACTGAAAGACAGAACATCCATGTAAATGGAGTTCCAAGAGGAAAGGAGAGAATGGAACAGAAATAAAAAACTGAAGAACATACTGGGTAAAAATCTCCCAAATTTGGGGAAAGACAAAAATGTACAGAATTCTCTGTAAGTCACTAAAACAAACCACCTTTTCAGTACTGTCATTATTAAATAAGAAAAAAATAAGGTCAATTGAGTATAAGGTTTTGTTTTTGTTTTCTGAGGTAACTATGTCAGAATCAATTTTATGTACTGATTTTAAGAATTTCTTTCATGAGAGAAAAAAATACCAAAGAAAATCACACCTAGGCACATCATGGTAAAATGACTGAGAATAAAAGATAGAAAGAAAAACCTCTGAAGCAATCAAAAGAAAATGACACATTACATTCAGGGAAATACTGATTTGAGTGATCACTGACCTATCAGAAATAAGGTCAGAAGTGACATCTTTAAATCCTGAATAAAAATCTTGCCTTCTATATGTAGCAAAAAATTTCTTCAAGACAGACTGTAAAATAGAGACTTTCAGCTAAAAGAAAACTTGCGCAGCAGATGTACACGACAAGAAAGGCTAAAGGAAATGCTTCAGGCTGAAGGAAAGTGATACCAAATGGAAACTGAGATCTTTGGGAGGAAAGAAAGAGCCCTGTAAAATGTTGTAAATCTAAGACTACTTTTCCTTTTAATTTCCTTCAAGTACCTATGACTATTCAAAGCAAAATTTATATTGTGGAATTTAACCACAGAGAGATGTAACACCTATAAAAATTATAGCATAAAAGACAAAGAGAACATTATAGATGTACCTTTATACAACCATGGAGCTCTTACCTTTTACCTGAAATGGCATAATGTTAACTGAGAAGACTGTGAGAATGTACATTCTAATCCCGAAAGCAACCATTAAAACACGTAATACAAAGTATAATTTGAAGTCAACGGATACATTAAAATCAATTCTAAAAATATTCAAATAATCCAAAAGGCAAGAAAGAAAGAACACAGGGAACAAAAAGAGAAAAAACACAAAGAAAAACAGATGGACGACCACACAGAAAATAGTAAAATGGCAGACATTATCTCCAACCAGATCAATAATGAAGTGAAAGGTTAACAAACTAAATACTCCAATTAAAAGGTAGCGTTTGTCAGAACAGATTTGTAAAAATATTCAACTATAGGGATGCCTAGATGGCTCAGTTGGCTAAGCGTCTGCCTTCAGGTCAGGTCATGATCCTGGAGTCCCAGGATTGAGTCCCACGTCGGGTTCTCTGCTCAGCAGGGAGTCTGCTTCTCCCTCTGACCCTCCTCCTCTCATGCTTTCTCTCTTTCACTCTCTCTCTCTCAAATAAATAAAATCTTAAAAAAAAGAAAAAAGGTAGGGTTTGTCAGACGGATTTTAAAAAATATTCAACAATAGGGGCGCCTGGGTGGCTCAGTCGGTTAAGCATCTGCCTTCAGTTCAGGTCATGATCTCGGGGTCCTGGGACTGAGCCCCACATCGGGCTCCCTGCTCTGCGGGGAGTCTGCTTCTCCCTCTCTCTCTGCCCCTCCTCACCTCCCCCACTTGTGCTCTCTTTCTCTCTCTCTAATAAAATAAGTCTTAAAAAAAATATTCAAGGATATGCTATGCATATGTATAATGTATTAAAAAATAAATATGTGGTCTCTGTCCCCAGTTCCCGACACGCAGCTGCTAAAACCCTTGGAATTTCTGGAATGATAAGAGTCTTTTGTACACTAATGAGATGAGAGGTGGCTGGGGACCTCAGATGGCTTCAGGATGGGAGCTGGTCCCCAGAAGAATCAAGGCAAGATTAGAGGGTTGGAAATTTCAGCCCCACCCCAACCTCAAAGAAAAGGGATGGAGACTGAGTTCAATCACCAATCGCCAATGATTTAATCAAACACGCCTATGTAATGGAGCTTCCATAAAGACTCCTAAATGGTGAGATCTGGAGAGCTTCCAGGTGGGTGCACAGGGTGGTAGGAGAGGAGCGGGCGTGGAAGCTGCCCACCACCGCACACCTCGCCCCGTGCATCTCTTCCCTTCGGTTGCTCTTGTTTGCATCCTTCATAATAAACTGCTAGTAGTAAACCGTTTCCCTGAGCAGTAGGAGCCTGAAAAGAGGTGTGGGCGGGCATGGGAATATGCGGGCTCCAGAGCCAAGGCAGACCGAGATGAGCAGGTCACGCAGGGACCCAGTAACTGCAAACGGGTTCTGGCGTGGGGCAGCCTCACAGGACTGAGTCCTGAAACTATGGGCGTCCAGCACGGACTCCAGCCAGTCTCCAGAGATTTGAAGTAAAATGGACAGAAAAGGGAATGCCATGCAAACAATGTGGATGAAGGCTGGAAGAACCGTATTCAAGAAAGAGAAAGCAGACAGCGGCGCAAACAATGCTACAGAGGAGAGGGAGGGGTACTTTCTCAGGAAGACAGAACAATCACAAATGTGTGTGCATGTAATAACTTCAAAATACTCAAACACTGACAAAATTAAAGGAAAAATGGACAATTCTATACCCCTCTCTCAATAACTGATGTAAGCAGACAAAATGGTGGTCCAGGAAAGATATTACACACACACCTGAACATCAAAAGTCATGGAGGAAAGTCTGCCCTTGACTGAATGGTGCCTGAGGCGGCCACGTATAAAACCACAGACCGCCAGCAAGAGAGTCCACCTGCGGCGGCCCACACAGCTCTGCACAAAGCTCTACCCTTACTTCTGCTTTGCCCCAAGTCCTCACCAATGCCTTAGAGAGTGACCTGCGATGAGACACGCAGGTAGTAACTTGGTATGAAACTGAGTGTTGATGGAGAATGAAAATCCAGAAAGACCTTCACGGGAAAGAACGCAGGGTGAGAGCATCAGGCCATAAGCACGAAGTGGGGGGAATGCGGCTTTGTCAGGACACTGGTGAAAGACTCGCAGCTCAAGCTACGGCGACTCCGTTACCCTGACACAGGGATGAGCTACGCCCTGTGCTGCGCATACGGTGAAAGCTGCCGGGAATCTAGGCGAGGCCTACACGCCAGACCTCCGCCAGTGTGGGTGGTGCGGCGGGGCTCTCCTCCCGCACAGAGCACACTCTACAGCCACACAACCGACAATCAGCAGAAGAGCCCAGGGGCTCGACACCATGGGGCTCACCGGGGTGCACAGGGCCTGCAGCTGGCCGTGCCAAGCAGCCTGCCGCCCGTCTGAGGATGCCCAGCCAGCCCCCCTAAGCCTGGAGGCAGGGCGAAGGAGCAGCAAGGAGCCAAACCCCGGCTCGGCTCGGGGTGGAGCCCTGTCCTGACTGAGGAGGCACTAAGCAAACACGCTGCAGGGAGCAGAGGGGACGGAGCGCGAGGACCCGCGTGGACCTCCACAGGAGCCTGCCACCATGGAAACGGGCCAGAATCACACTTACCCTCTCCAAGTCCTCTTTCAGGCAGATTTCGTGCTGCAACTTCTCATGTAAATTTCTATTTTCTAGTTTTAAGACGTCAATTTCTTCCCTGAGCTCCGTCTGAAGAAGTGAGAGTTTAAGCCTGTGCTCAGTTTCCAAACCCAAGACGCTGGCCGTCACCTCTGTCTCCACCTCCAAGGCCGTGTCCTGTGCACACGGGAGCGGCACCAGAGCAAGCTCTGTGAGGGGACAAGGAGGCAGGAAGCACATCAGGCACGCGCCTCGAGGACAGCACACGCAGCACAGACAGGACGCTCACCTTCCAGCGCCTCCCAAAGCGTGGGCGCCTGGAACGCCGCGGCCCTGGGTGCGCCCAGATGACGAGCTGCCCTGTCCTGAGCGACCGGTACGCACTCACCACCCACGCCATCCCGCTGGTTGGGGTGCCGGGTGGCTGTTTCCACTGTGGGAACGTGTGGCTCTGGGCCGGGGACCCCTCCTGAGCTGTTCAAGTCAGGACCTGTCAGCTTCCTGGGCTCAGGAACAAGCTGAGCGGCCACAGAAGCACTCCGCGTGTGCAGCAGCTGCGAAGGACCTCCCGCGCCACAAGGACAGTGAGAGGCAGATACCAAGCACAACGTGACCTTGGCTCTCAGGAGCCATGCTCCTCCTCGTAGCCCGTCTCTTCAGCTCCAAGGGAACCCTTGCCCAAAACGGGCAGTTGTGTCGGAGTACCCCAACAGGGATCCAGACCCCCACCCTCGCCGTGGGACCCCTCTGCCTTGCCTCCTCCATGCTACCAGGGGCCGCAACGGCGCCCATCGCTCCTGGAATCCGTGTCCAAGGCTGGTCTTACACCTGCTCTCCTCAGCAGGGGGGTCACCGCCTGTCCCCATCTGCTGCATCCACTGGGAGGACCTCAGCTTCTCCACCCGCCCCGTCTCCTGTGACCCCCAAGCCTGGACCTGGCCGGGCCCAAGCCCAGCCCCTTAACTCTGAGGACACCGCCAGGGAGGATCTGCAGAGGTAGAGGCTGGGATGTCCAAATAACCCACGTGGGAGGCCCCAACCTCCCCACATATCGGGTCCTGTGGGCTGAACGGCCACCAACACAGGCAGGGAAGTGCACACACCTTCGCCGGGCCCTTCTGAGAGACCCACACGTTGCTCCCCCTCCAACACCTGGGTCCCTACGAGGCCCACCTCCCGCCGGGCTTCCAGGGAGGACTTCAACGCTGCTGGTTGGCACCGGTGGTTTTCTTCGAACTGCGTGTGCAAATGAGGGAAAAATTGCACAGAGGAAACGTTACAAGAGGCCTCTCTACCACGTCACCCCTGCTGGGCCATGCGTGCGCACGCCACCTCCCCTGTCCCCAGCATCTCACCTCCGGGGGGCCAAGTAGCTCAGGAGATGGCACACCATAGCCCTGAGGAGACAGGTGCGCACCACTGGCTGGGGAGCCCTCCTCGCTCCCACGCGGTGCTCACCGAGGCCAAAGCTGAGCCCCAGCTGCAGGGATGCCAAGTGGGCCATTCCTGGGAGCCTGACCAGAATGTTCCTGGACCTGAACTGCAGGGAGACCCTGACCACCAGACCCCCTTCCCAGGGCCAGGGCCGCTGCCAAACATACTCTGCCCCACTGTGGGGGGCCCACCCAGACTGCTTGCTCCCAAGCCCCCTCACTCCCCACTCTGTGTCTCCCCACTGCACTTCCCCTCCCAGAGTCAGACACATGCCTGCCTGGCCTGCTTGGGACATGGACCCGCCCCCAAGGGGAAGGGGCCCCAGCGGAAGGGTCTCTGGTCACTGCTGTGAGCACACCTGACAACAAACCCAGCCCAAGTATCCTGAGGGAAGGGAGGGAGGGAGGGAGGGAGGAAGGGGGGGGGGGCAGGAAGGGAGGGAGGGAATAAGGAAAGGGCTCAATGCATGTGCTAAACTCTCCTGTTCCCCTTAAAATGCAGGCAGTAAACCCATTGTCCTCTAAAACCACAGAGGAGTCATATCAACCTCAACTTTAAGCTCACAAAAAGCTCAAATTATCTTTTAAAGCAAGACTTAAATTCCTACATTGTTACAGAAACAAACCACCTGAGTGACAGGAAGAATCGAGTCCAGAAACAGACTTGTGTCCCTGGGACAACTAAGCACACAAAACGTTGTGTTTTAACAAGTCAGGCCTGAAAGAGTGACTTGCCATTTGGAAAAAGGTCTTAAACTCAGAGCCTACACCTCCTACTGGACAACAGCTAAGTCCCAGGTGGATGAAAAATAAAAATTAAAAGACTTAAAAAGATTATCAGAAGAGGGGCACCTGGGTGGCTCAGTCGGTTAAGCACTGCCTTGGGCTCAGGTCACAGTCCTGGAGTCCCAGGATCAAGCCCCACGTCGGGCTCCCTGCTCGGCGGGGAGCCTGCTTCTCCCTCTGCCCCTCCCCTGGCTTGTGCTCGCTCGTTCTCTCTCCCTCTCACACTCTCAGATAAATAAAATCTTTAAAAATAAATAAGTAAAATAAAGAACAAAATAAAAGAATCAGAAAATGATGCAGGAAAACACCGGGCGCTCTGAGAAAGGGGATGAAGAGCCAAGGGCCAGGGGAGGACACACAAGTGCAGACCCGGGCCCACGAGTACCCGTGCGAGAGAGAGCACAGCTGAGTCCAACGGCGAGCAGAGTGGGCCCTCTGAACCACAGGGGAAGGCGGGCAGATGCGACAAGAGGAAAGGCGTGCAGGGAGAGCTTCAGAGGGGGAGAAGAGTCCATTTCAAGCGAAAAGAGGTTTGACCTCATTTAAAACCAAAGAAACAGAAACTGGAAGAGATACTGGCTGTCCATCAACGGGGAACACAAAGGCAATGTCCAGCGGTAGGTGGGGAGGGGTGCGTCGGGTTCCCACACCCCGCTGGGGGGAGTTCAGCCAGACACCCTGCGGAGGGCACGGTGGCCTGTCAACATTTCAACACACACACAGGCGCGCATAAACACGTGCACACACACACACATTCCATCCTTCTAGTTTTCCTGCCTTCCTGAAATGTGGCTACGATGACCAGGAAAATTCAACTTAGGAACCCATGAGGAGAGGAAACAGGAAGAGGTCTTCAAGACACCAAAGCTGACCAACCTCGGGAAAGAAGTCAGCGATCACAGCAACGTCCGGGGCCCAGGCGGCAGAAGGGCTGCATGCACCCAGGGCCCGCGGGCCGAGGCTGGCCGTGGGGGGCGGGGGACCCGGCCATCTAAGGCAGGACCCCAGGAGGAGCTCTCCCCAGAACCAGGGATGCCTCACACCACCCGTGAAGACACGGCCACGAGCCACAAACCACACAGGGGGCCCCCGACATCCACACAGCACAGACACCCACACGGACGGACGGGAAGCAGGAGAAATGCTTCAACACCGACGGTCTCCAGAGAGGCACGTGCAAACGCTGCACCCATGGCACAGACGGAGGACACAGCAAGAGAGCAGAACCCCTAGAAACTAAAAATGACAACAGAAATAAGAAATTTAACTGAAGAACTGAGAACAAAGCTCGCAAGAGCTGCAAGGACACTGAAGAAGAGCAGTGCCAAGACCAGCCTCCTGGAAGCGAAGGCAGAGTCTCAGACACAGCGCCCCCCCCCAGCGTGAAAAGTGGACTCACACGCACGTGAACTGCCCACTGAAAACTTCAGGGAACTCACAGGGACCTCAGAGGGGCTGGCAGCACAAGCAGCCCACACACGAAGGGAGAATCAGCGGGACGGACGGGCCGGCGGCTCTCCACGGTGCGGGGGCGAGAGGACAGAGAACACGTGCCAGACGTCACACCCGCCAAACACACACGAGAACGAAACGGGCTCTCAGGGGGCTCCCCTCACGTGCCCTTGCGTCTCCACTGAGGGAACAGGCGCAGCAAAGAGAGGGGCCGCGTGCAGACACACGCCTGCTCCCCAGACAGCAGGGACCACCCAAGGAGAAGGCAGGGTGACTCCAGGACGACGGTGGGCGGGGGCCCAGAGGGCAGGACAGGGCTGTGGACAAGGACCCAGCGGCACGACTGCGCCGGGCACGAGGGCTCTGCTGCTGCGGAAGCCACACAAGGCCCAGCGGGACACACGCCGCACCCCCGTCCCCAGGAAAAAGTCACACGCAGAGACAGTTCTAGCAAAGGACATTAACAATGGGAAACTGGAAGCAGCCTGCTAAGCAGGAGAAACTGGGTCCCCAAAATTCACAGGTCCAAGCCCGAGCCTCCAGCACCTCAGAGTGGGACTATCCAGAGACAGAGACGCCAGGGGCGCGTGTGCACGGAGGAACCACATGAACAGGCAGCTCGAGAGCGGCCAACCGCAAGCCAAGGAGACAGGCCTCAGGAGAAACCAGCCCTGACCTCCAACTTCCAGCCTCCAGACTGAGATGATAAATTTCTGCTGTTCAACCATCCGGTCTGTGGTACGTTCGTGATGGCCACCCGAGGCGACTGAGACCAACAGATGCTGACGCCGAAGCTGTGCTCGCTGGGGCAGAGCACGTCTGCACGGGGCCACCACGGTCTGTCACGGCACGCCACCTGCCCAGGGTGGTGGCCATGAGACCCGGGCTACCAACACCGCAAGGCATCACCATCAAATAAAAGGGAACCTCGGGTGACAGGAAGGCCACACTGGCCACATCTCAAGTGCTCGCAGCCCGTGTGTCCACGGACTGACGGGACGGATGAAGAACACGCGGTGTGGACACAATGGAATGCTACTCAGCCGTAAAGAAGAACGAGATCTTGCCATTTGTGACAACATGGATGGACCTCGAGGGTGCAAGCAAAATAAGTCAGTCTGAGAAAAACACGTCCCGCGTGATCTCACTTACACGTGAAATCTTGAAACTGAGCTGACAGATACAGAGAACAGACTGGTGGCTGACAGAGGTGGGGGTGGGGGGACAGAGTGGGAGAAAGTGTCAGAAGACACGAACCTCCAGGTACAAAACAGAGTCTGGGGATGTAGTGCGCAACACGGTGACCAAAGGTAAAAAGCTGTCCTGTACCCCTCTGAAAGCTGCTGAGAGGGTAGACCTTAAAGGTTCTCAATCACAAGAAAAAGAAACCCCGCAGCCCTGGGTCTGACAGACGTTAGGTGGACCCACTGTGGCGGTCACTCACCACACACACAAACGTCACACCTTGTGCACCTGAAACGGACGCTACGTCCGTGTCCCCTCAACAAAGGACAGAAGGGCCCGTCACCTCAGGCTGAAGGCGGAGTCCGTCGCAGTGTTCTCTTCTTCCTTTCTCAGACCTCTCTTCTAAACACACACTGGGTGGACTAAGAGAGAAAATGTGTTTTAAAACCTCCTCATATGCCCCTTCTCCTCCCTGCCCCCTCCACGGCGATCCTACTTCCCGTCAAGGACAGGAGCCCTCGGCTGAGCGGGCCGTGTCTGTGCGACCGCGTGGCGGGACCCTGTGCCGGAGCAGAGGGGACCCCGGGTGCCGCAGGTCACGTGCCGCTCCTAGCCTTAACGCTCTCTTGCTTGGAGGCCCAAACATAAGCTGTGTTTCTAAAACACAAGGCTCCTGCTCTCCACTGGCATGAAATCACAAATATAACGAGATTTCAATTCAGCTCAAGGTTCCCACGTTTCGAAAACACGCTGATGATGAAAAGCACTTATGCACCTGATTTCCACAGACTCCAGAAGAGACTCTTCATTCACCTCCTGCAGCCGCCGCTGTAACACAATCAGGTCTTCTTGGTAGCTTTTCTCAGCCTCCTCTAATTTCTTCTCAAAGTAAATTCTCAACTGCTCCAGCTCAGACTCGTGCTCGGCCTTCTCTCGCTGCCGCTGCTGCTGGAAGTCTTGCCTTAGGCGCTCTAGCTCTTCCCCATGAGGCGTGAGGGCCGGGAGCTGGTCGTGGAACTCTTTAATGGGAAGGAATTACGCAGTCACCTTCAGACGAAACACTGAGGAGACATCAGGAGACACTGCAGACCTCAACTCCAGAAAGGGCTCCAGTCCCAGCACCCGTGAAGGTGAAGCGGGACCCCTCTGTGGCTTACGCTGGGCGGCGCCTCACACCGGGAGGTGGCCTGGGCGGCCTCAGCGGATCCCATGGGCCCCCCGGAAGCAGAGTGCTTTCCCAGGCTGGTGCTGAAGGCGTCAGAGCCCAGAAGTGTGAGAGGCGCTCCGCATGCGGCTCGGGCCACAGGGCAGGGATGCGGGTGGCCCCCAGGGCCTGAGAGCCCCAGCCAGCGGCCAGCACAGAAACAAGACCTCGGCCCTACAACCGCAGGGACTTAGTGAGCCACGGCGAGGCCCAGCCAACACCCTGATTCCGGCTGCGGGTGATCCTGGACAGAAAACCCGGGCACGCCCTCCCATTCCAACCTACGAAACATCTGCCGGCTAATAAATGTGTGTGGCTTCCAGCCACTGAATCTGGGACGTTTCATTAAGAGCAGAAGAATAGTGATACCCACGGACCTCGAGAAAACGCACCACCACTGCTGTTTCCAGCAAGAAAATGCTACAAGCCGCTTAACAATAATTAATAATCAGCTTTCAAATGATGTGGGTATAAACTGGTCCCTACCCAGAAGTTTCAAGACAAATATCCCTGGAAGGAACCCTGGAGGCCAGGGCAAGGCTTCCCCTACGGCCTCGCGAGAGCTGACCCGCTCAGGAGCTCGGGAGAGCCGTGAGCCGCACCCACCGCCATCAACACACCGGAGCGAGCGGACAGGCGAGGCCTCGCCCACCACACAGGTCTCTGGCCCTTCCTCATAACCCTGCTCGTTGCCCCCCGCAAGGGGGACCCCTAGACTGAAAAGGCCCCACCTAGACAGCAGCAGCAGAAACACACGCATCCGCCTGTCTCGCTCGCGTCTCCTGACTTGCCCTGCTGAAGGCGCTGTCCGCAGGTGGGGACTATTCTTACAGAGGCTCTCGTAGGAGGTGCCAGGTGAGCTGCTGGGCCCTGCCAACTTGGGGGTCACTCGGGGCCACGGAAACCTGACAGCACCTGCCCCAGGTGAGCTCACAGGGTTCACGGGGCATCGCGCGGTAACACGCACCTGCACTCCCCCCAAATGCCCGCTGACTCGGCTTCTCGGTAGACGCCAGCCCTGCTGTAAGCTTTACCCATCTCACACTCGCAAACTGCCTCATAGGAACGTGAGAAAAATCACGATTCTGTAGCCGTTACTCAGCTAACTTGCTCGAAGATGAAATCAAGGCCCTCAAGTTTCCACCTTAAAACCACACACCAATCTTCAAAGAAGTTTACAAAATCGCTCTTTCTGTGCCTGCTGCAATTGTTAAGTCCTAGTTTGGGGTTTGAACAATTAAAAACACAGCTGTAGCTTTTGAGGATCTGAACTTTCAACATGAAACTCCTCACCACTCGAGTCCTGTCTGTCAGGTGTCGGAGACTCGAGCTGAGACCACAGGCGCAGGATCTCTTCTTGCGACTGAGCCTTCAGCTCTGCGTAGGACGCCCGGAGGCTCTCTAACTGGAAAAGGAAGCCGACATGTGAGACGCCACCCGAGACCAAGCCCAGGAGGTATGCACCCAGCTCTGGGGGCACGCAAGGCGAAACCCCAAACCTGCAGCCAAGAGAAAACCAGCCACAGCGGAAGTACAGAGAAACTACAGCTCATTTCTAACAGGCCTTTACCTGCTTGTAGTCTTGTTTTCCCCTCACTGAATGAGGACGGAAACTTTCTCCGTTGTCCTAAACACAAATCCTTCTAACTTGTCAGGGGAGGGACTGGACTGTCAGGCTGGACTCCTTCCCAGGCTGCCAGGGGTCCCTCTGTTGTCCGCCCCAGGGGCCACCCCTCCCCCTCCTGTGGCATGCTGGGGTTTTCCCTGCATTTTTCGGTTAGCCCCCCTGGAAAGGGTCTCTTCAGGGGTGAACAGAGTCAGCCCACCCTGCACCCACGGAGCTGAGAGCAGCAACCACTGTCGGGGTGGGCCCGGGGTCAGGCCACAAGTCACCCACGGCACTAAGTGGGTGGGTACGCGTGCAGGGCTGAGGGCTAAAGGACAAGCCCTGCCAGAGGGGACACGGGACGTGGGAGCTTTGGCCTACAGTGGCCCTGAGGTCAGCCTGCTGCCTCATGCAGGGACAGGACAGAAGCCTCATGCCCTTCTGTGTTCCTTTCCCATCGGCAAGGGAGAATCAGCACGGAGGTGATGAGGAAAGGCGGCCGGAGCAGGTGTAAACGCCACGGGGACAGAAGCACAAGCTCCTCCCGGACTCTCCTCTGAAATCCGGGCACAGGCCGAGACGGACTCGGCCTCTCTGACTTCTTGGCCCGATGCCTGGGGCACTGATGGTCCTGGGACAGAGCCCTCGGTGTCTGAGTAAGATCTGACCACACCTTGCATCGTGGGTATGTGGTGTCTTGCTGGAAAAGAGTTCTGAATACACAAGCAGCAGAAATGTTTCTGGCTAAACCTTCTTAGGACTTCTGTGCTTATTTAGGATTATGGTCAGAGAACATGGCCTTAGACCCCTAATGCCTGGAGTCTGGGTCTCAGGGGCACTGGTAAAAAATACAAATTCTGTGTGTGTACGATCCAGCATAACCATTACGCCAACTCCACAACTCTGTCTTTACTTCTCTATCTACTAAATACCGACAGTCTCTTTAAATTTACTACTTAAGGGGCGCCTGGGTGGCTCAGTCATTGGGCATCTACCTTCGGCTCAGGTCATGACCCCAGGGTCCTGGGGTCAAGCCCCATGTGGGGCTCTCTGCTCAGTGGGAAGCCTGCTTTTCCCTCTCCCACTCCCCCTGCTTGTGTTCCCTCTCTCGCTGTGTCTCTCTCTGTCAAATAAATAAAGTCTTCAAAAAATAAAAATTAAAATTAAAAATAAATTTACTACTTAAGTTTCGGCAAATAACAGAACATGAAAACAATCCCATCCAAAATCTTCTAAAACCTCCCCTCCCTTGCCAGTTGGAATACAGAAGTCCCTGCCCACCTCCAGCTGTTTTTCTGCCTCCTGGTCTCGGAGTCTCTGCTCCAAGTCCCGCACGTACTGACCGCGCTCAGACTGCAGGTCTTCGCGTAACTGTCGCAGGGCTGCTTCCTGCTGGGTCTCCAGAGTCCTCAGGGCACCTGGACAGGGGCACACACACCCCTGAGGGCGTGGCCTTCTCAGCCACGCAGGAGCACAGCTCCTTCCAGACCCCAAGGTCCCAGCACCCTGTGCTCCTGGGGGGCAGCCCAGACGGGCACCACCTCCTCACCGCGGTGGCACCGTGGGACAGGAATAAAAGGTAAACAATCGCAGCCTTACTTTCTTGGTAACAATTTAATAATGGAACATGGACAAAGGTCTCTGAAACAAAGGCTTCAGGAGAGGTTAGGGAGCTTGAGAAGTCTGTGGTCAACGAGGGGAGACCCCAAGGCTGAGCCTGAGCCGCCCAGCGGGCCCCGCACCTGTCTCCACCACTGTGGGCGACATGCACCCACAGCCCCTCTGGCAACGAAACGCAGGACGCTCGTGCCCAGCGTGAGCCTGGCATGGCACGTGACTTTCGTTCTGGCATTCCACACAAGCACTCAGTCCCCTCTTCAAACCTGCTCATTTTAATTTGAAACTCACATTCGGCCTGAGTTTTGGCTTGAAAAATCTTCTCCAATTCAGCTTTCTGTTCGTCCAATTCTTTCTTAAACTGGTCTTGTAAATTCTCCAATTCCAACCGATGCTTTGCAGACAATTCTCTGCGTAGGTTTTCTAAGCATAAACCCCTCTCTGATTCCCAGTCTTGCTTCAGGTTCTAATTCAAGTAAGGAGAGAAAAAAGACTATGGGCCAACAGTGGACTATCTGTGGTAAGAAATTTAAATTGCATTCGAAAACCAGGTGTGGGCAGTCACTGTGCCAGACCAGACTGTCACTATAAGAAGCTGAATGGTACCCACCAAAGACAAGGACAGGAGCAGAGAAAGCTAGGACCACCTGCCCAGAAACAAAGCGTGGACGGAGGTCATGCTCAACAATTCACACACCCGTCCTCCATGAAGGACCCAGGATCCTACAGTGACATCACCTGACCTCTGCAGAGGGCTGGCCTGGCCCCAGGTGCCCTAAGAAATGAGTCCCCCACCGTCCAGCTTAGAGGGGTGGGGCACAAGCCTCTAACCTGGGACTAACAGCCGCCCTCCACCAACTGCCCGATTAGAGCAGCCAGGACCTAAACACCCACGTGCCCCACGTCCGATATGTGCCCCCTAACGTCATTAACGTCCCCCGACCTCACCAGCCCCTTCCTCTGCTGTCACCGGCACCAACAGGCCTTCCACAAATGCAGCCTTGAGAAAGGGACCCATGGCCAGGATGAGAAGTTCCAGTGAGGGGCTTCTTCGGAGAGGCGCTAACTGTGTCCCACCCTGAACACAACTCTCTCCCCAGGAGGGCTGTGGGCTGAAATCAGGGGCACCAGCAGAGGATGTGTGGTCAGCCCAGCACATGGGGCCGGCTGCGGCATCGGCCGCACAGCAGCTCCCCCGCCCCGAGCTTCCCCAAGGTGCCTGGGATCTGCGCCCCACACTTTTACTCGTTGCCACAGGGCACCTCCCTGCCCTGGCACGTCCGTCAGTCCCGCAGCACAGTGAGGCCACCTGGGAGCAGACTGAGGGTGCAAGAGCTTCATGTTATAGAACAAGTTCTAGTTGTGCTATAACAAGCTATATAACAAGCTGTGCTGACAAATTCAAACTGCCCAAAGAAAAGGATGCTTCTCCTCTAAAGCAAAAGGCAATGCATTTTCTACCAGCACGTTCAATAAAGCTTTGATGGGGTATCTGTCTGAATCGGGTGAGGGGCTTTCCCGTGGGGACTCCAGGCAAGCTGGAGGGATGGAGGGAACGGGGAGACGCCGCACACCCAGAATGACATTTCTAACCACGTCTACCTCTATCATCCTCGCGTTCTTCTCCATTTCCGCCTGTAACTTCTCCTTCAGCTCGGCTGCAAGAAAAACATAAAAGCAGATGGGATCACGGAGTCTGACCACTTGAAGGGGAGAGGGCTGCCGGCACGCACAGGCCGCTCCACAGGAACACTCTGCAACACTCCCAGGACAACAGGGCGTGTCTGTGAGGGAACACGAATTCCACGTGTGATGTAACGAACGAATTATATTCCTGCCCAAAGCAAGGGCGGAGCCTTCCAGCCAGCCTGACAGCCACACAAGCTGGGGGGTCCCTGGGCACCTTAGACCCGAGTCCCCCTCTGGTCTGTCTGCCCCACACCAGCCCTCACGCACCCTGGGCCTGGAGTGCAGGCTCCCGCCGTGCCAGACTCCGGGCAAGGTATGGAAGACAGACAGGCAAAGACATTCTAGGACCTGGCAGCTCCCGAGCCCCAAGGAAGAACCACAAGAAAAGAGGTACCAGGTGTTGGGAGTGCAGGGGAGGGAGAAGGCTGGACCAGTGGGCGTGGCCTGACATGGACTGAGAGGCGTGCACACCTCGGGGTGTGGCACCAGGAAGAGAAGCAGGGACCTCAGGAAAAGGGCTGAGGCGCAGCTGGGGCCAGCCAAAGCCACATGTGGAAGGTGAGGGGCCTGAGCAAGCCCAGAGCTCAAGCAAAAGCCAGGCACCACCTCTGAGGGGGGGTCACAGGGGCCCAGGCCAAGGCAGAGCCTCATGGAGCAGAGGGCAGGCGTGCGCCCCTTTGTGTTCCCATCTCCAGGGGTGAGCATAGAGAAAACAGCATAGGAAAGGGCCCAAGGTAAAACATGTTTTGTATTTTCAAAAATGAGCAGAAACGGGGGGCCATAAAACTACTTATTTATGTTTATTCGAATCTACATGAAGAAACATGGGACGGTATCCCCAGAACCTGAGAAGACTGGCTCCCTCTGAAGGCTGGGGGTGGGACTCGGAGGAGGAAGACTTTCAACACATCCAGGGCCACGCACGCTGCTTTCATTTTTCAAATGAAAAACTCAAGAAACAGGCACATGAGCAGAGAAATGGGGATGACTGCTCATGGGCACGGGTTTCTTTCTGGGGGATGAATGTTCTAACCTTAGACTGTAGGGATGTTTGCATGACTCTGAAACGCACACTTTAAATGGGAGAATTGTATGGTATGTGAATTACAGCACAATCAAGCTGGTGTTTACAAAACTGTTTACAAAAGTAGTGACTAACAGAAAAGTAGGAAAATAACATTAAAACATAAAACTATCTCTTAGATGTAAATAAAGAGCTCAGTCTAGGCCAGAGAACCACCAAAGGAAAAGGTGCCTAAGCCGTCCACCAGGAGCGACGTGGCCCCACTGGGAGCAGAGTGAGGAGCTTGTGGGATGTGGGGGTCTGTGTCCAGGAGCATCTGGGTCGGCCACAGACAGTCCCGTCAAAGAGGCAGACACGGAAACTTCCAGCACACAAGCAGATCACCTCCAATGACGCGACACCATTTCAGAAACGAACACTAGCCCACCGGACGCGCGGACAGAAGGCAAGGGGACAGCAGAGCCCCACAGCGCAGGAAGCACACCGCCCCACCCAGGACACAGACAGGGAGATCTGGGTGGGACACGCCCCTGATGGGTGCCCCGCCTGCCTCCCCAAAACCAGCAGTAGGGGCCTGTATGTCGCCGACAAGTCATGGGGAAGCCCACGCCCGGCGTGCAGCCCCGTACCTGTCTCCCGGCTGCAGCGCTGCACCGTCTCCTCCCGCTCCCGCGCGTGCTGCCCCCTGGTCAGCTCGAGCTCCTGCTGCTGCCTGCTCCGCAGCAGGGCCAGCTCCTGGGCATGCCGACCGTTCAGCATGGCCCGCAGCTCCGTCAGCGCCGTCTCCTTCTCCTTCTGGAGGTTGGCCTGGGTCAGCTCCAGCTGCACCGTGTGCATGTTGCTCAGACTCAGGCGCAGCGCCTCCAGCTCCAGGGAAGGCACCGGCTGCAGGACAGACAGGGGCTTCTGGGCACTGGGGAAAGCAGCTGCGCTGCCTGGCGTGGCCGTGTCTGCCAAGACGCTGGAGCAGCGACCCCCTCCCACCACCACCACAGGTTCTTACACCTGCTTTCCGAGCCTCAGGCTGCAACACCGGCCAGCTCCCCGCAGGACCTCAGGCAGCCCGGGCACAGCCTGGCAGCTCGCCAACCACCTAAAACTGCACCCAATCCTATCCTGAAGCCCTGTAGCCCACATGTGCTCTCCCTCCACCTGAACCGCAGCTCTGCAGACGGCCGGGGCCGTTCCTCCTCGAGGACACAGGCCACACAAAGCCCGCGGCCACGCAGGAGGCCCCAGCCTCCCTTCAGGCAGGCTCCCCAGCCCATAGACCCATCCTGGCTGGAGCCAGGTGAGCAGCCATTCCAGATGTTGCAAGACCCCCGTCGGAACCATGGGATGAGAACCAGAATACAGACAGGAGGAGGCTTGGGACAGTCACTGCCAACGAGGGCAAAATGTGAGGCCAAAAAGGGCCCAGCAGTGGCTGAGTTAATGACCCCATCAGGAACCCCATGCTCCAGACCAGAGACAAGCAAGCTCTGTACTTCACTGCTCTGGAAGGTGGGCAGAGGAGACAAAGGAGACACTTCTGTGCCTAGCTAAGATATGGGGAATCTGTGCTCCTTCCACTGCCCTGGGGAAAGTGGAGGAAGGTCAGGGTTCCAGGAAGCATACCTTATTCCCAGTTAACACAAACAACAGAAAAACATGTCTGGAACTTAGCACTTAAGGGACACCCAAAAAAGCATAAAAATAAAATGAATAAAGGGGAGTGCCTGGGTGGCTCAGTCGGTTAAGCGTCTGCCTTCGGCTCGGGTCATGATCCCAGGGTCCTGGGATCGAGCCCTACATCGGGCTCCTTGCTCTGCTCATGCTCTCTCGCTCTCTCTGTCAAATAAAATCTTTAAAAATGAAGAAATAAAAAAAGATAAAGGAGAGCAATAAGCAGAAACCATGGAAAAAGAACATGTGCCTCCAAAGAGGCCAATAAGGAGCTCCAGCAGGACAGGGAAGCCACAGTGAGGTGCAGGGACGCACACCAGCCCTCCTGCCGCAAGGGCGTGTCCAGAGCACCCTCTGCTTCCCGTAGGTGGCAGCCACCAGGGGAGTCGAATGTGCCTCCAGGACAGCCTGGCTCCGGCTTCTCTTCCTCGAGGCCCCTCACGGCCACAGAACCACCTGTGTCTAATGAGCGGGAGCGGCAGCTGACAGGGACACCGCCAGCAGTGCCGTGAGTGGCACCTCCAGACCCGCTGCCCCAGGCGTCCTCGCACGTCCCTCCCCCTGCCCTTTCAAAGGCCCCCCACACAGCAAGCCTGCCGCACACATCCATCCACTCTGTGACAAACCTCTCCCACCTGCAACCCTCCCAGACCCCCAAGCCCACTGGTGCAAATTACAGGGCGAGTGTGCAGGGATCAGCCACACCCCGAGGACCTGGACGTGGGCCCGAGCATGCCGGGTCACCTGGGCCTGCAGCCGCACCTGCTGCATCTCTGTCGGCCGCTGGGGCTCCACGGCCACCTGCTGCTGTGCGCCGACCTCATCCTTCTGTCTTCTCATCAGTTCCGCAATTTCTAGCTTATATTCTTGCTCACGGTCCTAGAGGAGGAGCGCAAAGGACGTGACCCAGAGAATTCACATGGGGAAACAGTCACTAAAAACAATTACGACACACCAGAGAGAACTGCGTCCAGCAGTGTTCACGGCAGCACGACTCACAACTGCCAGAAGGTGGGAACAACCCAAGTGGCCACAGACAGGGGACGCATAAACACAATGTGGAAAAGCCATCCAGGGGGGCATCACTCAGCCATAAGGAGAAGCTACGACGCTGATAACCTCCAAACGTCACACTCCGTGAGGGCAGCCAGACACATACTGTGTGGTGAGAATAGGAAATGTTCAAACAGGCAAATCCACAGGGACAGAATGCCGGCTGGTGGGTGCCCCGGCTGCAAGGGCAGAGGAATGGGGAATGGCTGCTAATGGGCATGAGGTTCCTTGTCGGGTAATGAAAATGCTTTGGAATTAGACAGTTGTGATGGCTGCACAACAAAGTGATTGTATTAAAAACCACTGATATATATACTCTAAAATGGTGAATTTTGTATATGTGAATTATATCTCAATAAAAATAACTATGAAAGAACATTAAACCTGTTTAAGTGGCTGAGGGTAAAGTGGAAAACCCCAGAGAGAGGCCGCAGGTGCTGATACTGGACAGCAGTGTGAGCTTCCCCAGGCTCTCTGGGGATACTTACGGGAGGGAAAATGTACGTAAAATGCCTGGAAGTGGTGGGTGCCAAAAAAAGCTGAATGAACCTGAAGATGTAAATGTGAAACATTTTACAGCTAGTAAATCAGCAAAAGTTGGTGATAATATTGATCCTCAATGTCACCAAGGTCAAGGGGAAACAACCAAACACTGTCAATGACAGAAAAGTTGGTGTAACTTTTTCTTACGAGCTATTTTGACAACGTATGTCAAAAGCCACAGAAAATGTTTCTGTCTTAATATTCCCAACTTTGGGGGCGCCTGGAAGGCTCAGTCAGTTAAGCATCAGACTCTTGATCTCAGCTCAGGTCTTGAGCTCAGAGGCGTGAGTTCAAACCCCACGCTAGGCTCTGTGCTGGGCTCAGAGCCTACTTAAAATTTCCCAGCTCTGGGAACATTTTCAACATCACCAACCCAAAGGGAAAAGAAAAGCTACAAGCCCTCTGTGAGCGTCCCAGTCTCCCCCACCCCCCCAAGCCCCCACCCCACGTGGGCCACGCCCCTCCCGCAGCAGGCCACTACAGCTGCAAGCCTCCCAGCTTCCCCTGTGTGACAGCCCAGATCTTTCTGGGGCTTGTCTACAAGGCACCTTAGACTCAAAGCGAACCGAATTTTCCTGTCCAAGCTAGGGCTCCTCCAACATTATCCTCCTCAGTTAACAGCACCCCCAAACCCTCACAGTGCTCCTACTCCTGCCTCCCCTTACAGCAACCCCACAGCAGCCCAAGGCCGGTCCTGGCATCCCTCCATTCCCATGAGCGCAGCTGACTGGCTCCCATGGTCACTCGGCCTAATGTGAGGTCACTGGCTTGGAGACCAGATGATGCATTCAGGAAACAAATTCAACGTTGTCACTCCCTTGAAAGACTCAGTGCACCTGCTGCCCTTGGGGGCAGTCCCTCCTGCTGTTCCACCTGGCACTTGCCTCCTGCACCAGGGCCTCCCTGCGACCTTGGACCAGCTCTGCCTCCCCTCCTTTTGCTCCTCTGGGACCTTCCCAGCCCTGATCCCCCACCCCTGCAGAGGCTCCCACTGCTCCCTGCACATGTCAGTGATGCCCAGGAAGCACTCAGCACTGCTGGGAAGACGCACCCGCAAGTACCCCTCTATCTATGAGGGCCCACAACGTGGAGGCAAACTGTTCCAAGGGGAGTGTCAGAGCCCATTAAATATCATTATGGATGCTTCATCAAATTAAAGGGCTTTTGCCAATGGTAAAAGGTAATGTAGGAATGTCCAGTTTTAAAGATAAAAGGCAGAATCTTAAAACATTTTTGCTACAAACATCAGAATTGTTGGATAAAATGTAACAAAAGTGACTCTAAATGTTCTGAGGGAGGGAACAGCCCAGGTGCCAGATAGGAGGGATGTGGAACGTAAAACGATCTAGGGAGACAGGGACACGTGGGAGCACCACACGCTCCCAGAATCGGTGGCTTTGCTGGGAGGGCAGTTAGAAATGAGACTGTCGGGCACAGTCAGGTGTCCTGAAGGCCTGTGCGGCAGGATAGGACGCGTATCCTCACTGCCCGAGTGCGGGAAGGCCAGGGAGCTCACTCATCTCCAAATGAGGAGGCAGAGGAGGCGAAGTAGGGGCGTCTCTCCTGAAAAATTAAAACCCAGGCCTGCTCATCATACTTGTTGACAAATTTATACATGCCATGGGATGCAGAAATCCCCAAGCAAAGAAACTGACCTAAAAATAAGTCCTAGCAAGGGCACCTGGGTGGCTCAGTCGGTTAAGCATCTGCCTTCAGCTCACGGACCTGGGATTGAGCCTCAACCTCAGGCTCCCTGCTCAGCGGAGAGCCTGCTTCTCCCTCTCCCTCTGCCTGCCGCTCTGCCTACTTGTGCTCTATCAAATAAATAAAATCTTAAAAAAAAAATCCGTCCTAGCAAAGGGCTATTCCCGGGACACCAATCGGATACAAATCTGGGACCCATTTGGAGGGGCTCGCACAAGCCAGGACACAGATATTCTCAGGGAAGCCACACAAACACCTCACTAAAAGTGAGCACACAACAGGCTACTCCAGGAAGGGTAACAGGTACCTGAAAAGACCTCCGGCAGCACCCACAATGGTCCCCACACAGGTGTGCAACTCAAAATAACCCCAAGCCATACAGTTAACTTACCGTGAAGAACTGACCACACCTCTAAAGACTGGGCAAAATTCAGACCAATTTGCTCATAAAAAGATACAGTTACACTTAAAACAAAAGCAGCCTCAAAGTATCTCTAGGAAACGTTACATAATACAAAATGATATCACTGTCTTTAAGAAATCCAAACAGAATGTCTTGAAATACAGACAGCAAAGACAAAATCAACAACTCAACAGACAGATTTAAGAGCAGATGACACACACACGAACAGAGTCAGTAAAGGAAGAGATAACCCCGATGAAATCTTTCAGGGTAACCAAAAGAAGGAAAGTACAGAAAACAAGATGGGACAAGTGTATGCAGAGGAGCTCTGAAAACCTTCCCTGGAATTTCAGGCCCTGGAGAAAGAAGGGCCAGACGCTATGCATGGAGATACTGCCTGGAGATTTTCTAGAAGCAACAGAAGCGAAAGGTATCAGCCACAGACCGAGAAAGACCCCATGATCCACGTCGCTCTAGTAAAAGAACAGAAGTGCACATCCAGGCCCACTAAAGTAAAACTGCGGAACAGCAAATAGGAAGTCTGCAAAGCAGCGGCGGCAAAAGAACGGCGGACCAACAGCTGACACAGAAGCCAGGGCAGAGCTGGACAAACACCCAGCACATGACACACCAACCACCAACCTGAATGTCCATACCAGTTGGACTATCTTTCAGGAACAAAGGGAAAAAACCAAAATACATTCTGGAAAACATCACCTGGGGGCACTGGCATAAGAAGGGTCTTGCTACAGGAAATACTAACACGTGTTCTGCAGACAGAAGGAGCGTGGCCCCACCGCGGAAGAAAAGGAATAAAAGATGAAGAAGACGGAACTACGATACTAACCCTGAACAAGAACTGACCACTAAAAAATAAGTAATTCCTTACATCATAATCACAAACAATGTGGAGGCAAGGACATTGTCCTTCACTAGATAAGCAGACCAACAGGCACGTCCATGCAATAAAGCAATGAAGAGAAGGGAGCTCTGATGTAGAAACAGCTTGCATGAATCTTGTATTTGTTTTGCTACGATTCAAAAGTCAGACCCAAAAGGCTACATATTCTAGGATTCCAACCGTACCACAGAAAAGGCAAAAGTACAGAACAGAAACAGGTGGGCAGTCACCAGGGGCCGGGGAGGGAGGGAAGGCTGACAGCAAGGGGTGCACAGGGAAACTTGCAGGGGTGGAGCCATTCTGTGAGGAGTCCTGTGGTGCTGGACTGGAGTCGGGGACGGCAGGATGCACGCAAGCTTACTTTAATACGTGTACAAGGGGCGCCTGGGTGGCTCAGTCGTTAAGCGTCTGCCTTCGGCTCAGGTCATGATCCCGGGATTCTGGGATCGAGCCCCGCATCGGACTCCCTGCTCCGTGGGAAGCCTGCTTCTCTCTCTCCCACTCCCCCTGCTTGTGTTCCCTCTCTCACTGTGTCTCTCTCTGTCAAATAAATAAATAATAAAAAAAAAAAAAAAACGTGTACATACAGACAGATACATACAGAATTAACTACAGACCCGTGTGTGCACACGGACTAGTGTGCATACGCACCCGCTGAGCGACCTAGAAGCAGTGACCATACCCAGTGCCCAGGTCTTGGTTTCTACCACCATCAAATAAAAGGAACCAGGGCCCCCTGAAGAAATGGGTGACTCAGAACTGAGGCAGGGAGAGCACAAGATGAGCCTGAAGAAAGCCAGAATGTGCTTATAAGACAAAGGATGGGGCATGTCACCAGGACACAGGGGCCAGACTGAAAAAGCTCCCAATGGCGAGAGCTGGAATACTGGAAGCAACAAAAGAGATAAAACGTAGTTTGAAATTATAACACAAAGTACAACATAAATACACATGAGCCCATACGGATATAAATACATGATTAAATTAATGGGGGCGAAGAGGCACATCTTCCTTCAGAAGAATTACAAACAGAATGTGTCGTTACTCTTCCCTGCAGGAGGCAGCACATAATTTCCCTCCCTTGAAGTGTGTGCTGGACTCAGTGACTCACTTTCAAAGAGGAGAGTCTGCAAAAGGGGAAACCCGGCTGACCCTGCCGGGTAGAAGGAGATTACAAGGGCACATCGCCTCTGTGGTCAAATCCCTAACTTGAGTCTAATAACGAAAAAGCATCAGAGAAACCCAAACTGAGGGAGAGTCCCCAAAGGAACTGAC